GGACTACGACCAGTTCCTGCGCCAGCGCAGCTTCCAGGAGAGCCTGGGCCCGGGCTCCCGCCGGGACCTGTACGGCCAGTGCCCCCGGACTGTGTCGGACCTGGCCTTGCAGAACGCCTTTGGGGAGCGCTGGGGACCCTACTTCGCCGAGTACGACTGGTGCTCCACCTGCTCCTCCTCCTCCGAGTCTGACAATGAGGGCTACTTCCTGGGGGAGCCCATCCCCCAGCCCGCCCGCCTGCGCTACGTCACGAGCGACGAGCTTCTGCACAAGTACAGCTCCTACGGCCTCCCCAAGTCGTCCACGCTGGGCGGCCGGGGACAGCTGCACAGCAGGAAAAGACAGAAGAGCAAGAACTGTATCATTTCTTAACCCGGTCGGGGTCAGGGGGTCGGGGAAGATGGGAGCTGAGAATGTAAATTCAGAAACTTGCACTGTTTTTTCTTTGAAAGCGCTTTTGGGGGTGGTTCCTGGGGGAGGAGACGGGGCGGGGCGTGCTCTCCGTGGAGGAAGGCGAGGTTACAGGTTGACTCGGCTGGTAGCCCCAGTTCTCGGCATGTTGACTATGATTTGCACATTTCACTTTGGAAACGCTCTAGACGGCGTGGCGGCCGGGGTTGGTCACCTCGGTGTGTGCAGTTGCCACTCATCAGATGGCAAATTGCTTCCTTGCTCGCTTGTATCCTCTCTGGTTCTCTTCCTTTTAGGACCCCTTTTCCAGTAAGTAATTTGTTTATTAGCCAGGACCCAAGACTAAGTTATTTACATGTCCATTGTAAATGCAATGTAAATGAGAGTTCTGATAAAATATTTTTGTATTTTGTAATATCAAAGGAATTTCTATATGGTAGGACTCAGCGCAACCTGCATGCCATCCGCATCGTCTTTGTGTAGTATTCCGAGTGGCCAGGACCACCCCCTTTTTCTTTTTCTATACAAATTTGTTACATGTCAGTGAGACTTTTTTCAAAGGCGTTTATTCAATTTGGCTTTTTGTGGCGAAAAAATAACAATGATTCGATCCAAAGCATTTTACGCTCTAGTCCATCTTAAGGAGCCGTCCTTAAGTCCACTCCCACCCTCAGTAGGAGGTATTCTCTACGAAGTGGTAGTCGTTTATTTAATAGCAAACATAACCTTTGCCCATCAGAGAAACCAATCAGTGTCAGTCAAGTTCCGCGAGAAGCGCCATCCCTGCTGGGAAGCTTGAAGCTGCTCACGATTGATCTCTTTCTTGGGGAAAACACAGTGACTGTGAGTGGTGCCGTTGTGTGACGTCAGCATGATGTTGTTTTGAATGTGGCATTATTTTCCGGTGCTCATGTTTCCTGGATTGTATTACCCGCTTTCCTTTGCCAAGGCAGATGGAACAGCTGCCTTAGCCTGACAACCGGTTGTCCTCGGTGCAAATGAACTTGGGCCTTAGGATTTAGGGGCAGACGGGTTCCCACGGGGCTCTGGGAGAGGCGGTGTGTCCTAGATTGTACGTCATGCGTGGAGAAGGAATGAGGCGATTTGAAAACAGAAAGCGGGGCAAGGGTGGTAGAACTGACGGAGAATAGGAAGCAAGGCCAAGGCGAAGAAGAACTTCTGGAAATGAAGTAGAGGAGCGGTGACGGCCGGCTTGACGAGCCCCCAGTGCTTGAGGAAGTAATTCCGTTTAACGCCCTCCCTATCCAGAGTCTCTGGGTCACCCAGGAAGGTTGAGCTGCTCAGGAGGCGTCAGTGTAAAGGCCTTGAAAAGCAGATGTTGTTGAAAGGATTTCCATTGTGAACTTAGGGGACCCTTGGTCAGCCTGAAAATGGGCTCAGAAGTGAATTTGCTTCAAGAAGACATTTAACGGTTGTATTGTTTATAGTAAAATAAAACTCTCTACCTTGCTTCAGTTAAAAATGAAGCGCTTGCTTTTCCCCCCATTCTCCTCCTCCCCTTAATGGATTGTGGCGGTTGAACGAACCCGTCGCAGGACCCACCTTTAGTGAGACGTTCTGTCCATGTGCTACACGGTATATCTCAGTGGCCCTCTGCCATGGTGAGGTGAGCGTGGTCTCTTTTCAATACAGTAGTTAATATTTTCTAGTATTTTTCATGGAGAGAATGTGAAACGCGGCTTTTCAGACCCCATGCCAAATGGGCCTGGGGAGAGGAAGGCTGTATGGGATGTCGAAATGGCGCTCCATTCAGGATGTATTAAAATAATTTGCTTTTCAGGTATTAATATGACATTTGTCATTGTCACTGATTTTTTTTAAAAAGCAATACAAGTGTTGGTTGTGGCTGTTTTCCGCATGCTATCTTCATATCTAAATGCTTCCTTAAGTATCCGAGCCTCGGAGAATTACTCTATTACGTTTGTATAGTAAGTCTGTAAACTGCTTGGCAAACTGATTTTAAGAAATAATGTGCAACATCACATGACTAAAGTGGCAGGTTTCTGGTAGAAATTGGGCAAGTCCAGTTGGGATTTTCAAGTTCCTTGATTGATGAGAATAAAAAGGCGTTTTGGAAAAAGGGAAAAAGGAGATGACTTAACCTAGCAGAAAGCTGGACACAAAGTCTGTCCTCTGTGGCCCGGGACCCAGGGAAGGAAATTCTCCTGGTAAACGTTGCCTTCTACCTCCGTCCTCCTCAGAGCACCTCTTGCATTTCCCACATGAGGCTTTACCCCATCAGCAGAAAGAAGAAGGTGGCCTAGAAACTGACACATAACTAGTGTCCAAAGGAATTGAGGAATGAGCAATTTGCCATCTAGTTGCCCAGAGAGCACCCGGCAGCAGAACTGGTCAGAGCTTGATGTGTAATAGATAGAAGCCTCAGGGTCAGACTGTCTGCAGGCGAGGTCCCCTCTGTCGGTTCCAGCTGGCAGAGGTCTTCCCACACACATGCAGCGGGCGCCTTACAGCGAATGCTGAGGAGGATGGCTACATCCCCGCCATGATGGTGAAGGCCCAGAGAGAGCAGGGTGTTGTACTGGGAGTTCCACCAGTTGTTGACAACTTACATGCAACATCCCAGAATCCCACTCCCCAAAATTCTTCTTTTCTGAGGCAAGAGCTTAGGGTCCTTAGCTGATTCCTCCATCATAACTCCTATCTCTTCTTGGTCAAGTTTCCCTTTGAGTGAGGCCTACACTCACCTCTTTCTAGATCATCTTTTCATCTTCAATAGACTGTTTCTATCCAAGTAATCTTTTCCCAGTTTCCCCTCTGCTCTCATGCCTTAGGGTTTTGTTTGTTTGTTTTCCTACCTCTCCCCATATAGTCCTCTTCCTATCTTTAGGTTAACACGGCAGCATTAGGGTACAGTTCATGTCCTGCTTGCTGCTCAATTCAGCGGCATCAGAACTGGCTCCCTCCCAAGAAGTGGAAGTCATTGACAGGGTCCTGAATTGCCCTGCCAATGCACCACCCGTGATACTGTGGACAGGCTTCTTAGCAGACTGGTGGCATTGAGTGTGGCATTCAGGTACCCCTTCTTCTGGCATATAGTTCTGGGATCTCTACCAAGTGTGAAGGTGGTGAGCTGAGGGAAACCAGAACTGTGCTTCTTGGTTTGGCACATGTTCACAAATGGAGAATCCCCAGTGCTGTTAGTTCCACAGCTTCTCTCCGTATTCATCTTGTGTTCTCCAGTCCTCCCTTTCCACCCGCAGTCAGCTCAGTGGCCGAGCAGTTTTGTACATCGACTGCGGGACCTGAGGCTGCTCTTTCTCATTCTCCTTTCGGTAGGATGCTCCTGCCCTGCATCAAGATTCCTCTTCCTTCTCCTGCAGCAGCTTCCTGCTTCTGGGGTCCCACTAGCCATGGTGGAGTTCAGGTGGGACAGTGATGGCATATACGTCACATATACTCTGCCACCTGGGCAGGTATAACCAATACGCACTGTGTACTTTTTAGAGAACATGGATACAGCCTCAAAAATCCATGACACTCCAGACAGCCAGAACCAGTTGGTCAGAATTGATCTTATTTGTCTGATAACAAAACTTATTTATGAACTGACTTCTGTCTTTCTACTCTGGGCTTCTTTATCATTAGGCAAAAACAGCCACTTAGGAGGCATCATTCATAAATAATTGTGAAAGTCCAATTCCCATGCCCTCAGATTGTGGATGCTAACAGCAGCTGACTTCTTTAGGCGAAATGAAGACAAATCTCTTTGGCTTTCTTTTCCCTTCTCGTGTTCTTGGACAAGCATTATAGTCAGCCCCTGTTGGTCCTACTGCAGAGGTCAGATAAGAGTTCATCCTTGTCTTCATCTAACCCACCTTCTAACAAGAGATAACACAAATATTTAAATTCCAAGGAGAAGTGCTCTTTGTGTGTTTCTAACAGAAACCAGATGCTAACACCTAAGAAGGAGAATCTATAAAAAGGGAAGTAGGAGATGGAACCAGCTATCTGAATATTTCATGCCAGAAGAGTTGCTGTTAGCAACTGTTTAGCACCTTCAGGGCTTTGACGTGGGCTCTGGACAGCAGGTCTTCCCACCCACATGCAGCCTGGCGCCTTACAGAAGCATAGCATTCCAGGTGTGGCTCAGCCAGGCCTCGTCTGCCGATTTGGAAGGCAGTCCCATGCCCCCTTTGGAGGTATATATATACCTCTCTAAGCACTAGAGAAGTAGAAATGAAGGGAGTTTTGCCTTGTCCCCAGTGGTTGGTCCCTCTGGGACCTGGCAGATATGAACACTTGATTGTCCCACCACTTGGAAGCAGTCACCATGGTCAGGATCAAGAAAGGATTTGATTCTTTTTCCATTTTCTCATAAGAGTAGCCCAGACAACACAAGACTCATAAAACATGACTCACTGTTGGGAGCTATACTGTTTTATAGGCTGACTTCCTGCTGACAAAACTAGCTTTCCTCGAGGGGAATACAAAGGAGGGAGAAGCTCCCATAGTGTCGGGAAAACATTTCTGTGATTCTGATATGATGAACCCATAAGAAAGGGAAAAAAATTGCCTATCCTGAGAGTTTTCTGAGATATCCCTTCACCTTACTGGGTATTTGGCCATTGATGTTCAGTAGGTCACTGACCAAGCTTTAATAAATTTTTCGGACAGAGTTACTCACCAGTAAGGTCTGTTCTCAAGCCTTTCTGATGATTTCCATATTTTCCCATAAAGCATTTTGGTTCTATTTATGGACCCTGACTTAACACTCTGTGGCCTACAAGTCCTCCATTTTCCTTAGCAAATTAGGACTTGGGCATTTTCCCTCTCCTAAACACATTCTTTCCCGCACAGGATCGCTTTGCCCATCTCCTGCTTTAATTCCAAGTATAGACGAAGCCTCGGAGGGCCTGAGGAGGCGAGGCGGGCCAGTGTGCTGTGTGTGGGCGTCGCGCTGTTTGTTAAGAAGGCCTGCAGCGGGCCTTTGGTGCAGGCTCTGCCAGAGACTGTGGTGAACACTTTGCTTGAGATCCTGTACAATGGATATGCTGTTTTACTGATGTCTGTAATACATTTGTAAACTTCCAATAAAATTTGAATAAAAGAAATGTTGCCATTTCTCCCTCGCTTTCCAGATTTTTGAAACACTTTCCCTTTGAGCATCTCAACAGAAAAGGGAGAAACTGCACGTGTCCGGGTGAGATTCACTATGAAAGATGAGCCTGACTGTGTACATCAGAATGTGTCCTCTTCAGCCTTTTCGACTTTGGGGCCAGTTCTCTGTGACAGAGGACTGTCCTGTGCTTTGTGGGATGTTTAATAACGTCTCTGACCTCCACCCGCAGATGCCAGTAGCGCCCCTCCCCCTGAGTTGTGAGAACCGAAGAGTCTCCATACATCACACCAATTAGGATGATGACTAGTTAAAAAAACAACAGCTAGAAGATAACAAGTGTGGGCGAGGATGTGAACAAAATGGGAACCCTCGCACACTTTGGGTGGGAATATAAGTGGCACAGCCTCTGTAGAAAACACGGCGTTCCTCAACAACAGCTAGAAAATAAGAAGTGTGGGCGAGGATGTGAACAAAATGGGAACCTTCGCACACTTTGGGTGGGAATATAAAGTGGCACAGCCTCTGTAGAAAACACGGCGTTCCTCAACATCTTTAAATAGAATTACCATATGATCCAGCAAGTCTGCTTCTGGATATATATCCACATAATTGAAAGCACAGCCTCAAAAAGATATTTGTACACCCATGTTCATATCAGTGTTATTCACAATTCGCTAAAAAGATGGAAGCAAACTTAATAGCCATCAGTGGATGGATAGATAAATAAAATGTAATATATACATTCAATGGATGAACCTTGAGGACCTGAAGATACATGAATTAAGCCAGTCACAAAGAGACAAATACTGTATAATTTCATTTATATGAGGCACCTAGAATAGCCAAATTCATAGGAGAGTTTGAATGGTGGTTGTCCAGGGCTGGGGGGAGAGCCGAATGGGGAATTGTGTAATGGGTATAGAATTTTTTTCAAGATAAAAATTATGAAAATTGAGTGCACAACAATGTGAATGTACTTAACACTATTGAACTGTACATTAAAATGATAAAATTTTATGTTGTCTTAATTTTTAAATATGTTTTTATTGATTTCAGAGAGAGGAATGGAGAGGGAGAGAGAGCTAGAAACATCAATGAGGTAGCACCTCACACCTGCCAGAATGGCTACCATCAATAAATCAACAGACTGCATGTGCTGGTGAGGATGTGGGGAAAGGGAACCCTCGTGCACTGCTGGTGGGAATGCAGACTGACGCAGCCATTGTGGAAAACAGCATGGAGTTTCCTCAAAAAATTAAAAAATGGAACTACCATTTGACCCAGTGATCCCACTTCTAGGAATATATTCTAAGAAACCTGAAACACCAATCAGAAAGATTATATGCACCCCTAGTAGCATTATTTGCAATAGCAAACAGCCCAAGTGCCCATCAGTAGATGAGTGGATTAAAACACACACATTTACATAGTGGAATACTATGCAACTGTAAAAAGGAAGGATCTCTTACCCTTTGAGACAGCATGGAGGGAGGGACCTGGAGAGTATTATGCTAAGTGAAATAAGTCAGAGAAAGACAAGTATCACATGATCTCACTCATATGTGGAATCTAATGAACACAATAAACTGACAACCAGAATAGATCCAGAGGCATGGAAGCACGGAGCAGACTGAATCTCAGAGGGAAGCAGGGGGCGGGAAGAGATCAACCAAAAAACTTACATGTATATATGCATAACCCATGGACACAGACAACAGTGTGGTGAAGGCCTGTGTGTGTAGGGAGGTGAGGGGAGGAGTCAGGAGCAGGGCGAGGGGGTCAATGGGAGGATAAAAGGAACATCTGTAATACTTTTAATAATAAAGATAAATTTTTTTAAAAAATAGAGTTGTTTACATTCTACCTAGAGCTAGCATCTCAAAGGAAAGTTTCCACTACCCCCCAAAACCTACAACTCCAATTGGCCTCGTCTGAGTCAAGTAGTATATTCAAAGAAACACCGTTAGGGAACCAAAAATACTATAAATCTATATATACTAAGTATTTCAAATCTGTACTGTCTTGAAGGAAATGCTAAAAGAGGAGATGAATTTATTTATTTTTTTTTAGAGAGAGTGAGAGGAAGGGAGAAGTAAGTAGAGAGAAACATCAGTGTGAGAGAAACATCGATTGGTTGTCTCCAATATGCACCCTGACCAGGGATCGAACCTGCAACCTGGGCATGTGCCCTAATTGGGGATTGAACCTGCAACCTTTCAGTGTATAGGACAATACTCCAAAAGAGCCACACTGGCCAAGGTGGGGGAGATGAATTTGTAACGCACAGCAAACGTTGCTGCCTCTCCCACTATTCTGCACGTAATGCCAGCTTTCCCTCAAACTCTCTCCTACTCTCAACTTCCACCCAAACACACCAAGTGCACAGACCTTATTCTGCTCCACTTTCCCTTCCCCCTCACCTGCTCTTTATTATGCAAATCAAATCAGTTAGTCTGTGGGGTTCAGTTTTCACATCCGCTTCACCCAATGCCAGGACTGTACTGTACTGTTTCTAACACTGGATGAATTTGTCTCCCAAGCTGCAGGTGCCTTCCAAGTCTTTCCTCTGACTTTGTAGCCTGTGTGACTTCCGTTCAGCTGGCAGCCTCCTTCCAGGTAAGAGGATGCCTCTGGGAAAGTCGTCGTGGCTGTTCTCCTGGTCAAGGGCCATGACCTTCGTGGTGGAACAGGTCTCAGGTCTGGCGCCTTCTATCTTCTGCTAATTTTGTCTCAGACATATCCAGACAGGAACGTGCAAGCCACATCAATGGAAACCACTGCATAACGGGCATATGACAATGAATGGCATGGAATCCAACCAAATTGATCTTTCTGTTCATTCACCATGTCTCTCCCT